CCCAATATTCAAGTTATCAATTAAGAGTTGTTACTCGTGTTCCTTTGTGAACGTTTGTGCAAGCTTCTGTCGAGAGTCTCCAGGAGTTTCACGTGTCTCTTATCAACTAGAGAACGCGTCTAGTTGTGGCGAGCATCTACCCTATATCAATTGCCCCTTTCCACGAGTTGATTCTGTCTGATTGGTTTAATATACCAATTGCCCTTTGTCACGAGTTGGGATTGTCCGATTGATTCCGCATCTATCTTTTATTTCAAGTTGTTCAAGTTGGAGAAAAGCTTCGAAAATCCTTAAAAAGAAGGAAGGCTGCGTACTTTGGTCATATCATCCGAGTTCGAGGGTTCTCTTCGGATTTGGATCATATCAAGTGGTATCAGAGCAAATGATACCAAATGATGCGATATCAACTCGCACCATATTTAATTCCCGTGGTCCAAAAAATGAAGATTCGGGTTCGACGATTTAAAGATCAATTAGGAGCATTCTTAATGGATAAATGGCGCTTGAAACTACTGCCAAGAGCACAACACGTATGGCATGAGAATTTTATGCATGGTGTAATTAGCAGGGTGATTAATTATTCTATGACTCATTATAGCCATGCTCTCACGTGGAAAGCAATTTAATTGCTTTTGGTTAATTTGTCTTCATGACAAGCAAGCAGGAGTCTCACAAGCTCACGTTAAGACTGCATGGATTAATTAATGGTTGATTAATTCAACCTTTAACTCTCACACGTGAAGAGTGAGGGCAAGGAAGGATTCCGCTGCAGCTAAGGAAAGAAGGAAGAACGGAATCAATTCCGCTGCGGAGAAGGAAAAGGACAGCAGAGCGGTGCAATGGTGGAGTTGAATTAGTAGTTTATTTATGTGTTAGTTATTATTATATTTTCGAGTTAGTTTGGGATTTGTTTTCCTATTCCTTTTAGGTTAGATTTATGTTTTGTGACCTCTATAAATAGAGGGTGTAAGACCTACGAATTTTGTACCCAATACCCAACATTCAAGTTATCAATTAAGAGTTTTTACTCGTGTTCCTTTGTGAACGTTTGTGCAAGCTTCTGTCGAGAGTCTCCAGAAGTTTCACGTGTCTCTTATCAACTAGAGAACGCGTCTAGTTGTGGCGAGCATCTACCCTATATCAATTGCCCCTTTCCACGAGTTGATTCTGTCTAATTGGTTTAATATACCAATTGCCCTTTGTCACGAGTTGGGATTGTCCGATTGATTCCGCATCTATCTTTTATTTCAAGTTGTTCAAGTTGGAGAAAAGCTTCGAAAATCCTTAAAAAGAAGGAAGGCTGCGTACTTTGGTCATATCATCCGAGTTCGAGGGTTCTCTTCGGATTTGGATCATATCAAGTGGTATCAGAGCCCGGTTCAAACTCAGCGGCGATTTGAAGATTACCGGTTCAAACTCAGTGGCGATTTGAAGATTACTGGTTCAAACTCAGAGGCGATTTGAAGATTACCGGTTCAAACTCAATGATGAGAAGGAGCTCTTGAAAATCAATAATGGAGCAAGGTCAAAGATTGGTGGAGACGATGAAGCAAGCTCTCACAACGATCGAAGTTATTCTTCATGGGCAAGCACGATTGGAAGAACAATGGGACACCAAACTTGCTCGATTGGAAGCTTTATTGGGAATTAATTCGTTAGAGCAAGATCAAGACAAGGAGGAGTATATTGAAATATCGCCTATGGAAGGTCCACTTTTTGATACTTGTTGTGAAGAGTATGAGGATTTCGATGATGAGGAGGCGATAGAAGATGTTCTTGTTGATGAGCCAACTTTGGGTGCGCCGGATTGTGAGCAATACATGGCGAAACAAGAAATCAATGGAGGAGATGAATGCATGAAAATTCTGGGGGATTCATCAATTGTTTCAGGATATGATATTATTGATTTCGTGGTTGGTGATGCAATTTTCGAAGAGGGAGCACGCATGAAAAAGCGACGAGAATTGCAGAGCTATGTGGAAGGTTTTCATCAAAATGGAGTCTCTACAATTCGTGGACGAATTGTTCTTAAGAAGGGGGGAATGATACAATTCTTGCTACCACAACAATTTCGTTCGAAGGCCAAGAAGAGTGGTGCTGATTGGAGATCGAAGTTCTATAAAGATTCGAGGTCGAATCTTCTTCAAGAGAGAGGGAATGATACGATATCGACTAGTGCAATATTAAATTCCCGTGGTCCAAAAATAAAGGTTCGAATAAGGAGATATAAGGATCAATTGGGAGCATTCTTAATGGATAAATTATGGTTCACAAGAGCTGCTGATTCGTGCGTGCCAAACTCGTGAACTGCCTTAGTAATTATGAATTGAAAATGGGACGTGTTGTTCATGGATGGGTTTGGGTTCTCATTGAATTAATTCATGGGAGAGTTGGCAACGTGATTAATCTATTTGGATGGATTGTTATAGTTGGCAAAGTGGGATTAAATCATTAGAGGAAGTGGGATTAATTGTGATGCACGTGATGGAAATGGAAGGGTGAAGTAAGTGAAGAGGTTTCCGTCGCCAGCAATGAAATTGAGTTGGAAGTGTTGTCCGTGACCGCAACAGACAAGGAACGGAGAGCGCGCGCTAGCAGCCGGTGCGATGGAATTGGAGTTTTATTTCTTTATTGTTATTTTGATGATTTCTTTATAATGTTTTCTAGTTAGTTTGGGATTTGTTTTCCTATTCCTTTTAGGTTAGTTTTATGTTTTTGAGACCTCTATAAATAGAGGATGTAAGAGCTACGAATTTTGTACCCAATACCCAATATTCAAGTTATCAATTAAGAGTTGTTACTCGTGTTCCTTTGTGAACGTTTGTGCAAGCTTCTGTCGAGAGTCTCCAGGAGTTTCACGTGTCTCTTATCAACTAGAGAACGCGTCTAGTTGTGGCGAGCATCTACCCTATATCAATTGCCCCTTTCCACGAGTTGATTCTGTCTGATTGGTTTAATATACCAATTGCCCTTTGTCACGAGTTGGGATTGTCCGATTGATTCCGCATCTATCTTTTATTTCAAGTTGTTCAAGTTGGAGAAAAGCTTCGAAAATCCTTAAAAAGAAGGAAGGCTGCGTACTTTGGTCATATCATCCGAGTTCGAGGGTTCTCTTCGGATTTGGATCATATCAAAGTTATGTATGGGTATTAACATTTTCTCTGGGTAGACTCATACCCAATTAATTAATATAGATCCCGAATAAGTCTAGAACATTTAAGAATTTGAAACAAATGGGTATAAAGCAGACCGAATAAGTCTGATTCTGAAACCATTCGCCATCCTTCCCTCTCTCTCTCTCTCTCTCTCTCTCTCTCTCTCTCTCTCTCTCTCTCTCTCTCACACACACACACACTGTCTCTCAATTTTCTCTGATTCACAAATCCGCTGGCACAAAATGGAAATAAATCAGGGACGGCAGGGCTTGCAATCAAAGCGGCGGAAGCGTAGTCAAAGACGAAGTATTTGGGGGGTCACCTCGGGGCGAAGTTGCTTTCTTCGCTAGTAAAATCGGCATAGGTTTCTTCTGTTGGTGTATATACTCGCAATTGGGGCTTTTTCTCGGGTTAATTGCACCAAATACCACTTAAGTGGGGTTATTGTTGCAGGGTTACCACTTAAACAAAATTAGTAGCAACTAAAACCTTTAAGTCGTTCTCCGGTAGCAACATTACCACTTTTGTCAACGGAAGTAACGACAGGTACCATAAAGGTAATTTTCATGACACATAGGCAGGACAGGTCAGCACCTCTTGCTGACTCATCTTTGGATTTTCTTCCCGCGCGGGCTTGCCATTATCCCGCTCTTCTCCTGCAGTATATATGCTTTCTGCCCCATCTTCTTTTTCACAACCCCCTTCTCACATTTCATTTCTTTCCACTGCCCACATCCTCCTTCCTCCAAGTCGGTCGACAATGGCGGCTGCAAGTCCACTGTGCCGGTGCGCGGTACCGGCGGTTCTGAGAACTTCATGGACCGATGCCAACCCCGGAAGACGGTTCTTCGGCTGCGCCAATTACCGGGTAAGCTGATTAGATTAGATTAGAACGATTAGTTTAGCTTTTATTTTGTCAAAGCTTTCTAATATGTAAACTGTGGATCTGATTCTTCTCGTGCTTGATTCGTAGGGCGCAAATGCATGTAATTATTTCCGTTGGATTGATCCACCACTTAAAGATAATATTAAGCGCCTTGTTCTTGCCTTGCACAAGAGAATCCGAGAGGTGGAGAGGAGGAACGATCGCAGCTCATTTGTCTGAGAAGTCAGCAAAGGGTTTTTTATTGTGGTTGGGGCTCTTTTGGCAAAGAGTGTGATGGATTCCCTGTTTGGAATCAAGGAATGAGGTGGGAACCTGTTGTGGATTATGTAATGAGTTGTGGAACCTGTTCTGGATAATGTAATGTGTTAGGGAACTTGTTTTGAATGATGTAGTGGATTTGAATGATGTAAAAACCATTAGAAGTGTTACTATGACTTGTTGTTGCTTCAAAATAGATCATAGCCTTCTTGTTCAATTTCAAATCCAAAACCATTGCATAACAACAATGCTAAAAGCTGCTGCAAAATAGATCAAGCAAGTGACACACCATAAAAAGTCTCAACTCTGGTAGATATAGAAACTCAGCCTATCCAAAGTTCAGAATGTAGTAGTATAAAGTAAAGTGTCCATGCTGCAAATGGTGCAGAAAACCATAAAAAGAAACCCAAGGTGAAAAAACCATAAAATGGTGAGAAACCCAAGCTGCTGCAAATGGTGCAGAAAACCATAAAAAGAAACCCGAGGTAATTGAATAGAAGGCTTACAAGGCCACAACAGATTTGTTTAAATCCTTCTAGTGTACTATCAATGGAGATTAAATATAAACAGTAGTGGCAGATTTGTTCAAATCCAAAACCATTACATAACAACAATGCTAAAAGCTGCTGCAAAATAGATCAGAGTCTTCCTGTTCAAACCCAAAACCATAACATAACAACTATGCTAAAAGCTGCTGCAAACCCACACCCCATTCTGCTTCAAAATATATCACATCTTCCCTTTCCCCTTGGACTTTTTTCCTCTAACAGGAAGTTTGCTTTGCCTCCCTTCTCCTTGTGCAAAGCGTGATGCTTGTCCCTCTGATTGCATGAAGCTTTGGCTGCTTTGTCGAGGTGGTAGAGAACCTAAGGTGAAGCTTTGGCTGCTTTGTTGGGATGGAAAAGAGGTAGTTTCAGATGGACTTGAGGGATGCAGTGGACGAGTTCGAGTGCTTCCCTACAAATCAGAAGCAATTTGTAAAAATCTCACAAGTTATAAAGAGCATAATAATAGTCGTTAAACATTAGGACCATACATCAGGCATCCATTGTAGTACAAAACCAGTTGAACCTGTCGGTGGTGTGCTTCCCTACAAACCATAAACCTAAACATCAGGACTGAAAATTTTCTCAAGTAACCAATTATAAAACTATTTGTCTCACCTTTGTTGCTGAGTTTTCCCCCTTCTTCCCCTTTGAATGGAATGACTTGTTGTGCCCTGCTAGCTTACACTCACTACAATGAATGGTTCCCTTCTTTCCTTTCTTACTCATCCTCTCATTTGCATCTTTAAACTTGCGTTTCTGTTTTTCAGGGCCTGCTGTCTCCTCAATGCCCTTTTTCCTTTTGGTTTGGCGCCTTCCTTTCTTTGATTCATCTATGGCCAACGGCGGGGGCAGCACAAGTTCCTTCCCACTTGGCAGCCAAGACTCTGGTCCAACCATTGGTTCCACCTCACCAGAGTAAGCCTGAAGGTAAGCTCTAACCTCATAGCACTCATCCACGTAATCCTCTACCCTTTTTGAGAGTTGCCATATGCAGCGTATGGCATGAGGGCAGGGTAAACCTGTTAACTCCCACATTCTACAAGTGCATTTTGACTTACTGACATCAACAACCAACTGACCCTGAGGACATGAAACCTGGAACTTCTGTGGACCACTCTGAATGGCATTACAAGTGAAGCTAGCTTTCTGAGCTGAGTCTAACCTTCTCTGTATGTTAGGACAGAATCGACCTTTGAATTTTGACTCTGCTTTTACCTTCCTATAACGAAACCTGTGCATCAAGATTTTCCTAATAGTCTCGAACATGCTTATAATCGGTTTGGTCCTAGCTCCTAGTAGAGAGCTATTCCAACTTTCACAAATGTTGTTTGTCAGCAAATCTGACTTGGAATATGGTTGGAACTGTGACCTCGTCCATTGTGAGAATGGCTTGTCAAGCAACCACCTATGAGCATTCTCATTATAACCCTTAAACTCATTCATGCACCTCTTAAATTCCGATTCATAACTAGCTCTAGCACATGACCATAACAAGTTTCTGGTTTTTTTGTTACCTCCTTGTGCCCTAAACAGATTGGACACCAGATGTCTCACACAACATCGGTGTTCAGCATATAGAACAAGAGTCTCCAGAGCATTCAACAGACCCTACAAAACAACATTATAAAACAATTACATCTTAAAACTACATTACTCTACAGCAAAACAATATTATAAAATAAAGTACATTATAACAATATTCTTACTTTTTGCTTATCTGACATAAATGTCCATTTTCCTGAATCCTTGAAGATATCAAGGTCTCGACACAGTTGGTTTAAGAACCAAGTCCAGTTGTCTCCATTCTCAACTTTGACTGCGGCATATGCTAAAGGAAAACTCCCCCCGTTCCCATCTAGGCTAACTGCAGAGAGTAATTGTCCTCCATAGTCTGTTTTCAAAAAACATCCATCGAGAAGAACTACCTTTCTGCAGAAAGCAGCCCCCAGCTTACAAGGTTGTAAACAACAATACATCCTCTTGAAGACATTAGAATGCTGAGATGTTTCCACAAAACAGGTTGAACCAGGACTTGTCCTAACAACTTGAGCATAGTAGTCCTGCAGTTTATGATACTGCTCCTTAGCATTGCCTCTCAAAAGATCCAAGGCAATACGTCTAATTCTCCAAGCTTTCCACCTTGAAATAGTCCAATGATAATCTTCTGCAACTGTTTGGACAATTGACGCAACCCCCCCTTGTGGATCAGCCTGAAACCTCTGCAGGTACCTTCGAGCTATGTAGTTAGCATCCCCAAAATTGTTCTTGAATATCATGATGCACCCCTCATGCTTTAGACAACAAGATCTTTTCTGAACTGCCTTTCCATCATCAGTTGGGGCAACCCATATGTTCCATGGACAACCTGTTTGACACACAACTTGGACCCTTTTACTGTCACTATGATTAAACTTTAGTGGTTGTTTGCTGTTTATGGAGTAGCTCTTCACGGCTTCCTTGAACGTATCAAAATCCTTGAAAATTTGATGTAGACAGAAATGGGGATCGCTCATGTCCTTCTCTGAATTGAACTCTGGGTACCTTGGATGACTTGGAACCCTCTGGACCTCTTCTTCATCATCTGAATTGATGCTGCCTAGGTAGTCTGAATCATATACATCATCCTCAGAATGGACATCAAATGCATCATCTATGCATATTTCATGACTGCCACCCTCTCCATCGTTGCTTAGTCCCTCCATATCTTCATAATTACCCTCAAAATCAGCATCCAAACCTTGTTCCGGGTCACTCTCTGCAGGGTGATAAGTGTCAAAATCATTTGGTTCCCTGTTGTCAACATAATCAACATTGTTTTGGCAGCCCAAATCATCTTCTAACTCGATCCTTCCCTTGCTGCCACTTTCAGTTTCATTAGACTTGGATAGTGTCTCTGCCATTTCATGTTGAACTTCAGCTAGGCTAGCTTTGGTTAATTCCTCTTTATTGATCAAGTAGATCTCTACAAATTTCGTATCTTGAATAACCTTGGCAGCCATGTCCATAATTTCTTTGTCACTTCTCAGCTCTTGAAGTCCTTCCTTCAATCGTTCTCCTGGTAGCCTCCAATAGTATGCCCAGCCATTCTTCATTCTATATTCCTCCAACATCCTGACACTTTCTGAGAAGCCAAACTCAACAAGATATCCGTCAAGTTCAAACAAAGACAAGCAATCTGGATCTATCCAATCCAGGTACTTAACTTCCCCGCCAAAATAACACAAGTCTTCGTCTAGTACATACACAACCTCTCCTTTGTAATGCAGCTCGATGGTGAACTTGTCATCATCGATTCCTAACAAAAACAAAGAAGCCGAATTTAGTTTTAGTAAACCTGAAATCAAATGATGAAAAGTGCAGCAGCAACACAAAAATCCAACTCACCATATGTTGGTATCAGATCGGTATATCCTACTTCCCTAATAGTTGGACTCATTTTCGTTGATAAAAGTCAGGGGAACAAGTGCTTGCTGTTATGTAACCTGCCATTACAGAACAAACCACAAATTCAGCAAGAACAAACCATATGTTCAAAGAAACCCAGAATTCAGCAATAACAAACCACAGATTCATCTATAGAACAGAGCACTTTCGTCTTTCAGGAGGCTGGAGTACTAGGAATCACTTACCTATTTCAATCCATCAACAAGTTATCTTCATCAACAAGCTATCTTCGTTAACATGTCGTTTCAAAGCCTAAGAACATGATGAAAAGAAAAAGAAATCAGAATAAAAGAGTAGAGGAAGATCAAACAACTTGCAGATGCATGGGACTATTTACTTACCGAAATCAGAATCAAGGAGTAGAGGAAGATCAAACAACTTGCAGATTCATTGCAACTTGCTTTGCTCGTCCTCCCATCGGCGGTGGCGGCGGCGGGGTTCTGAATTGGCCGGAATTCGAACCGCAGACTGATTCCGCGTCAACTAGATTTCGAGCCGAGCTTCAGGGCGGCGTTCCTTTCTGGGTTTCTCAGGAGAAGAGAAGGCAGTGGCTTTCGGGGAGGTTTTGTCGTTTTTCTTCGCGGTCTGTCAATGGCGTTTAGTATGGGCTGATCTTGCTAATCGGTTGCCCTTGCCGTCACACGATTGTCTTCTGGAGGAAGGGTTTTTGTTTTTTTGAAATTGCAGAACAGAAAAGAGAGGGAGATGAAAAGTCGGGTGATCACACCCTTTGTTTCTCTGCAGAGTGGTGAGTGGGCCCAGGCCTAGGTGTGGCCCAAAGATGAGTCAGCAAGAGGTGCTGACCTGTCCTGCCTATGTGTCATGAAAATTACCTTCGCGGTACCTGCCGTTACTTCCATTGACGGAATTGGTAACGTTGCTACCGGAGAATGACTTTAATGTTTTAGTTGCTACTAATTCTGTTTAAGTGGTAACCCTGCAACAATAATCCCACTTAAGTGGTATTTGGTGCAATTAACCCCTTTTTCTCATGCTTGTCTGGCTTCCATTCCACTCCCCGCTATTTTCCCTCCAGTCTCTTTGGCATTCTACTATAATTCTACTTCTGGCGAGTGGCCCTTATCGAGAAAAGCACAACAAACATAGCGGAAATGGTCCTGAAGACACTCTTTGTTTCTTTCATAGCTCCTGTAGACACGCCATTTTGTCATTACTCAACTTAAAATTCTAAGCTTAATCTTGAAATGTCGTAAGATATTTAAATTTGTCATTGTAAATCTAAAGTATTAACGATTATGAAATTTATTTGAATTCGATTCTAGTGGAAACACTTATTTGTCAGTTTTAGTTTCTTTCTTTTATTACTCAATTCAAAGTTTCTTTCTCTTATTAGTCTTTTCTTAGTCCGTTCAGAGAGAGAACACGTTGGGAAAATAGAAAAAGAAATCCAAAATACTTTTCTTTTCCTTCTTTATTTTCTGTCAAATAGAAGCACAAGGCCTCTAGGCAAACAGAAGCCCATCGAGGTTTGTTTGAGCAAAACCAAGGTTCATATTCCAGATATAATAATATATACCATTGATTTATTGCTCTTTTATTCTCTTCTCTACTACTCTTCTCCTTTTGCTAAACCTACTTTATATTTATCGCTAGTTGCGGTTACTTAAACTGTGTTAGTATTGGGCCTTGTTGGGCCTCGTCTGATTCGTTGGATTAGGGTTTTAACCCTAAGTTTATCTATATAAGCTTAGCTATCGACTTGTGTGATAGCAAGCCGTCAAGATGTAATCCTAATAAGAGATCAGTCGTGAGCTCTTATGAGCTCACCGTGGATTAGTCTCGATCAATCAAGATCGAGGATACCACGTAAAATCTTGTGTTCTGTGTTCTTTCGTATTTTCGCATCATCAAATTCTACATGGCATCAGAGCGAAACTCGATCCCTTGTCTAGGGTTTTGAGCTTCCGCAGTGTTGCCTCTCCGCAGCAGCATCGAATCATCGATGTTCTTTATCATCCTCGTCGTGCGCATCATGACGTTGTTAAATCATCATCATCACGGTCGAATCCGTCGGCCAAGTCGCTACTTTCTTGGAGTCGTTGCCATCTCCAGCAATGGTTGGAGTCTCCATCTCCTTCGACAAAACTGAAGCAGAGAAAAGGACTTCCGACTCCAAACTCGTCCAGTCACCATCTAAACGAGCCATCCATCAGCTTCTCGAGCGCACCAACCCGCTCCTGTCTCCACTTTTGCAGTTCAGTGGCGAAGTCCTTTCCGCCATCACCGTCGCTCAGTCACGGCCACTGGTCTTCTCGGAGAGACGAAGTCATCGTCTCCGTCCAGTCATAGACGTCGTCGTTATTGTACCAAGGTTCTGTCTTTGCCTCGGTCTGGTCGCCATGTCCCTGTCACCGTCCATAGCCGATGTCCATCCCGGCCTCCAACATGCTGGTCGTTGTCGGCAAGACAAGATCCTTAGATCGACCATCAACGTCCAGGCTGTCATCATCCTCCGCGCCATCTAACCTGACGGCCGAGTCAACATGGGTTGGATCTGCTTCGTTCATCGTCTGCGTCCCGACGCCGTTGAATCACCATTGTTGTTGGCGTCAGGCGAGACTGCTCAAATCCGAGCCCCCACCATCACCAGCCTCGTCTCATCCGCAAGGTCACCATCGGAGTTCTGCTTTTGCATCCTGTCTCCCGCCGTTCCACCGCCGTTGATTGCTTCTCCTAAGATGGTGTAGTTGATGAGGTGGGCGCATGAGGGAGAATTTGCGAAACCAAGGGTTTCTTTCTCTATTTGGGCCATCTTCAACAAAATGGGCCGCCAAATTCAAGTGTGGTCGTGAGGCCAAATTGGCCCTTATGGGCTTTAGCATATATTTTTGGTAACAGTTTATCAAAGAACTCTTCAATTAGTTTTTTGGGTCAACTATCTCATTTTGCAGGCTTTACCCATCAACTATAGTCAAGTATCGATTGAGGCATTCACGATTCATAAAATGGACGTCCCCTGGCGTTCAAAGAGGTAGTACGATCAGAGAAGTAATCGTCCCTTCATCGTCCAGCTGGCATTCACGATCCAAGAAATGGTCGTCCCCTCTTCGGTTCATTAGTGGGCACATATCAACCATTCATCGCTTTTCAAGCTGAGCATTCACGTTGTTCATGCTCCAGCTTGAGGGGGAGAATAGGAGGTCAACATACGTCGGTCGACTAACTCAGTCATCAGGTCGACCGCGATGTACCAGGTGTGTTCAAGTTCAAGAGACGCAGTCAATCGTCTCCATCATCAGGTTGTTCAGAGAGAGTCAGTCGTCTCAAATCAACCTCGCCCGAGATGTTATTCATCTAGAGTTTTGTGGTTCAAGCCATCATGCTTGTTCTTCACATTTACTTCTTCAAGCTCGACATTCTTGTCATTCATGTCTTCGCTTGAGGGGGAGTGTTGCGGTTACTTAAACCGTGTTAGTATTGGGCCTTGTTGGGCCTCGTCTGATTCGTTGGATTAGGGTTTTAACCCTAAGTTTATCTATATAAGCTTAGCTATCGACTTGTGTGATAGCAAGCCGTCAAGATGTAATCCTAATAAGAGATCAGTCGTGAGCTCTTATGAGCTCACCGTGGATTAGTCTCGATCAATCAACATCGAGGATACCACGTAAAATCTTGTGTTCTGTGTTCTTTCGTATTTTCGCATCATCAAATTCTACAATTACTACTATCATCCATATTATGATCATCTAACTAATACAAGACTTTTTATAAAAAAATCAATAAACTCTAATAACTATACATTGATCTAACTGATTTAGCAGAGAAATCTCACCTATTTTACTTTATCAGCTCTTCAGTTTCAGTTTTATTTTCGGTCCCATTATTTACTTATTTTTAGCACGATTAATATATTAACAATAACAACCGCTAATTACTTGATCACCTTATCAAAAAAAAAAAAAAAAAAACCCCGCTAATTACTTGAGTAAAGTCTCTGATCTTTCCATTCCATTTCTACTACGCCATTTATCACCTGTCGTTTGCCATTCCTTTATTTATGTCATATATTTCAATTCCTTTATTTTCTAGCACATACATAAAATATAGGGCTAATACCACTACAACACCCCAACTATCCGGAAAATGCCACTTGTGTCCTATTGTTTCCAATATTCCATTCATATCCTGAACTATGATACTTTGTGTCATTTGTATCCTGTCAATTTCGTTGACCGTTAAAGATAACGGTTGACTAAACGGTGGTCAACGCGAAGTTGACTTTTGTTGACGTGGCAAAAAATGTGGTTGCCACATAGATGCCACGTCACTGATCTCATATTTTTTAATTCAAATTAAATAAAAAATTGAGTTATATTTAAAAAACTGTAAATTCAATTATTATTAAGCCAAAATTTCAAAACAAAATAATTAAAATTCCCATAATTCTTCTTCCCTACCGATTCACTCTCTCTTTCTCTAAAAAAACTCAAAGACGATTCCGATTTCCAAGCAATGAAGCCGCCGCATCATCTCCTTCTTCCCCCAATCCGACCCAGGAATGAAGACGATACCGATTTCCATTTTCCAAGCAATGAAGCCGCCACATCATCTCCTTCTTCTCCCCTCCGCGGTCTTGGGCTCTGGTTTTCTGTCAAGCTCAATACCCCATCTCCGCCGTCCGTACTCCTCCCTGAAGGACGCAACTTCCGATTTGCACTTCTGGGCTCCGATTCTCTCAGCATCGACATCGGTGAAGGGTGCAAATAGAATCCCTTTATGCAATCGCACAATCTTTCTGCCAAAAGAAGCTACGACGGATCCGAAGAAAAATAAAACAGATCTGGTTTCATAGTTGATGTCGCCGCTTCACCTCGTCACCATCATCTCTCTGTATCCTCATTTGGGAGTCTCTGCTACCGTCGCGCGGATGGAATCCCACGCCAAAATCGACGAGAGCGGAGAACAGGTTCGTTCAAGCGAGCCCAAAAATCAATGGGCGGATGGAATCCCACCCCAAAATCAACTTATGTTGGTGCATTTGTCGAATTCAAGGAAACTCTTCCTAGATCGATGGCGATGACCATCCTCCTCAAATCCCTATGAACTCCCACCGGCCACCGACGACCCTCGCCCTTCTCTCCTCCGATTCAACAAAGGGTTTGACTTCCCAGAAGCCAGAGTAGCAGCCTCCACCTCCAATCGATGGCGCCGCCTCCAGATCCTCGAAACCCCTTCAGCTTGCTACGTTCGTGTCGGCTGTGTTGGGGAAGAAAGGAAGGAGCGATGGTGCCGCCGAGCTACTGGCTCGTCGGAGGGGAGAAGATTGTGGCATTTTTTAGTTGTTGGGGAGAAGATTGCGGGGATTCGGGAGAAGATTGCAGCAGGAAGTCATGGAGGGGGATTCGGGGAGATTAGGTAGAATTTTTATTTTATTTTATATTTTAATTATTTCCTTTTTCTTATTTTATTAATATTAGATGGAAAAAAATTAATATTAAAAATTCCACGTCAGATGACACATCAGTGCTGACTAGATTTTCTGTTAAAAACTAACGGTCAACAAAAGTCAACACTAACGGAATCATAGTTGAGGACACAGATGGAATATTGGAAACAATAGGACACAAGTGGCATTTTCGCAATAGTTCGGGTGTTGTAGTGGTATTAGCCCTAAAATATATCATGCATATGGATTGGAAAAAAAATTCACCACAATCCCTGAGACCCTGACCCTCTAAGCTCGCAAACCATAGATATCGATTCCTCACTGTCTCACCAAATAAATCACAAACAATAAATTAAGACAATCAAAATCATTTTCCCCACAAAGTCAGATCTATGGATCATTCTCAAATCTGCAGCAAAACCCAGATCTATTGATGTCCATTTTGTTTCTGTCTACGTCACCATCTATTTCTCACGTCTCGTAGGCAGCTGGAGCACGAGGTGGAAACGGTGGTCAAGAACAATGCCAATCTCCATTTGCTAGCTAATGTTCATTGTTTTGCATCCGCAGAATCGAACAGGTGGTCCTCAATACAGTGGTCATTGTGGGATGGTTAGAAACATGAGGAAATAAAGGCAGAATTGGCTGAGGGATGATATGCCAGACATGGGGAATTTCTTATCACAGAATTTTGCAGGTGGATGATTACATCTGGGATATGTGATATCTATTGTCATACGAACCTAATCGGATCAAGCTGGTTCAGTAGAACCGTCAAAACAGTTACGATAGCGGTCCGGTTCATTGCTTAAACGGTTATTGATCGACCAAACGGTTTCTTATGGTTCAACATAAAGTAAGATGAACAACCACGGTTTAACTGGTCCACTGGTTCACTATTTTAACAAAAAAAGTTAAAAAACTTTAACATAAACTAAAACCATCAAATAATAATTATTAATTTTATATATGCTTCCTCTTCTCATTCCAACCTTGTTGTCGATTTTACGTTGTACACTACCGACTGTCACTGTAATTTTTAATTTGAATTAAAAATACGATATCTTTTGTGAGATGGTTTGAATGATTTATTAGATATTTTGATAATGATATGAACTTGAAATTGTTTATGGTCAATGATAACTTCATTATTAAATTAGTGTAATATAAAAGTCTTATATGTTATATATATCATGAACGGTTTTATCAACGGTTCACCAACGGTTTTGTAACGGTTAACCACTGAACCTAAAACACTAATTTTTCCGATTCAGCCTCCGATCGAGTTCTCAAAACAGAGGTGATATCTGTACGTACACCTAAGCATAAAAGTTGTACTTGAATTTACCCCATAAGAAGTTGCATTTCTGTGCTTTAGTCTTATTCTTCATCAGGATAGTAGCAGTACTTATCTTTTAATGTAGGTTGGCTATAGATTTCACGGAACCCATATAGATACTCTGTTTCAAAGTAGCTCTTCCATTTTCTGCAGCCAGATATAATGTTTTATTTGAAACATATCTGTTACCGTAGGAAATATTACAGTGTAATTGTTGAACAGAGAAGATCACAGTGCTGATTGTTCCCAGAACACAGAAGCCTACTTCCAAAGCCACATGGCACCAGCTTCCATGAGCATTGGAGCAAGTCGGTTCTGGAGATGGAGGTTCATCACCTGCTTCTCACCGCCGATCAACTTTTGACCGATGAAGACAGCTGGCACACTTGGTCGGCAACCCAGCTGGAGCAGTGCCCCCTCGATTTGGGAACCATTGGGGATTTGATCCAGCTCGTAGATTTTCGGGTTTGCTCCGAACCCAGAGACGAGTGTAGTGATGGAATGGCTCATGCAGCAAGAGCTCTTGGTGAAGATTACCAGGGGTTTGTCTTTCACTAACCTGTCCACCATTTCCATTGCTTTAAATTTCTTCAAATGATCAGTGGAGTTATATATATAGTTCAGGAAGTGTTGTGGAAGAATGTGAGGAAAGGTGATAAGAGAGAATTAGTGGGTTGGAGAAGGGCTTTGGTTTGATGTGGAAGTGAATATCCATGGAGGGCTTATTTATATACTAGCTATTTCGGAAAGGTGTTTGCTGTCTTATGGTTTTGGTGGTGCGTTTTAACATTATTATACTGCTAATAATGGTAGAAAAAAGGTTCTGCATTAGATTCCCTGATTTTATCATGATAACTGATAGCGATAGTAGCTACTTGCTTGTAAGACAGGAATCGGAAATGTGTTCCTGAAAGAAGATTGATAGGTTATACCTCCGTTTTCAGAACCGGATCGGAGGTTGAACCGGAAAAGTTAGTGATATAGGGTTCACCGGTTAACCGTTACAAAACCGTTGGTGAATAGTTGATAGAACTGTTAATGATATATAACATATAAGACTTGTGTATTACACTAATTTAAGAATGCAATTATCATTGACCATAAACAAGTTCAAATTCATATCATCACGAATCATTCCAACCATCTCACAAAAGAAACCACCTTTTTTAATTCAATTTAAAAATTACGTTTCTAGTTGGTAGTAGACAATGTAAAATCGACAAAAAGGTTGAGGAAGCATATATAAAATTAATAATTATGATTTGATGGTCTTAGTTTATGTTAAAATATTCCTTTTTGTTAAAATAGTGAACCAGTGGACCAGTTAAACCGTGCCGGTTCATCTGATTTTATGTTGAACCGTGAAAAACCGTTTTGTCCATCAATAACCGTTCAAACAATGAACCGGACCGCTATTGATCCGGTTCGGTTCTTATAACAAGGGGTTATACACTTCGCATCTAAGTTCCAGAATTAAGTTATCCTATCATGCAACTAAGAGACTCTTTTTTCCTGGAAAAGGACATTTTTTGGTCTAAATCCACTAGGAAGTTCAAACTATTCTACAAATATAATTTGTGTTCTAAACTATTTAATATGACAAATCTTGCACGAATTATATGCGTTGCGTGACATTTGTGTCTTAAACTTATTCAATATGAAAAATCTGGCACAAACCACATAGATGTTGACTAGATTTTTGACAAATACTAACGGTCTACGCCGGTCAACATTAATGAAAAAATAGTTCGTGTAAGATTTGTCATATTGAATAGTTTAGGACACAAATGACACTTTTTGAACAGTTTGGGATTTTTAGTGTAATTAACCCAATGGCGGATCCAGAATTTATTTCCAGGGGTGTCCTTTTGCAAAAATTAAATTAAATTAAAATTTTAAATTAAATAATTCATAAATTAAAAATATTCGTCTAGTACAAATTTTGACAAAAGGTCACAATGTATTTTTATATTCTAAAAAAAGAATATAAAATAGACTCCGTTCGACACTGCTCAACAAATATGCTATTAGAAAATAATTCACGAACTGATCACATATTTCATTTTTAACCTTGTTTGATGTAACTCAAAGTTGAAAAAGATTCTTTCATCACTTGTCTTGTATCCATAAAATCAATCAAATTGAGGGTAGCCTATAATTAGTTTAATTATTAGGTTTTGAAATAGTTGGAAATATATATACAATTAACTCTTGCCGTATAGCATTTTTAAGATTACATATATAGTGTTTAAAACTAAACAACAAATGAGTTGCAACCTCATTGGGAATATGTTTAATAAAAGTAGTGTTCTAGATTTGAATAACACATACTACCGCATATATTTTTTTAAGATACAAACTACTACCAAAGGTATGATAATCATTTTTTCAAATTTTAGAGGTGTCCCGAATTACCAATTATATTTTTTTTATCCATACGAAATTACTACTGGGGATTGAATAATCGTTCTTCCAAATTTTAGGGGTAACCCTAAAGCTACATGTATTCGCCACTTATTAACCCTTACCCCGCACCACGCTAGTTCCCAATCGATCAAATGGAAGAGCAGCGGAGAAGTACTAGGCAATGAGGGATTCGGAAACAGAAGTTTGCTACAAATATTTTTCTGTCATGCACAGTTCAATGTTATCTCAATATCTTGTGATAAAAAATGCCTCTAGAATAAATTTGTTTTTGATATTTTTTGTGCGTGGAAACGTTGCAATCTGTGTGTATGTCCACCTGTAGGTTGTTTCAACATCATGGAAGGCGCAGTTCTATCTATTATGAGCATCTTCTGAGTTGAAGAAAGGGTTTGGGTTTATCCAACTGCTCCATAACTTTACTTCCCAAATATTCGTTTGCCAGAAAAGAATCCCCAGATGATTATAATGGGATGAGAGACGCACAAAAGCATGCCGAAAGATCGACGGTCTTTGTTATTCAGAAAAAGTTGAAATTTGTAAGACGGGGAAAATATCAACCTGCGTGCATATGGACAGAGATGGGAACCCAATTCATGTCCAACATGTCTTGTGTGTCAAGAACCAGTTGCTCTCAATAACTCGAGTTGTTGGAAGAGGTTAAATCGTGAATCATATACCGTTTACTAACACTGTATTCAACGACCTACATATTTTATTGGACATGCGTTTTCAATCTCTCGTAATTCAATTCGTTCCTCTTTAGACCAATTGATTATACTCAGCAAGATTATACTTTTTCCCCCTATCGAAAAGACGGTCACTTTTATAGCTCAACGAAAGTTGGAATGGCTTGAAGAACTCCCCTATTGCAGTCAATACTTTTGCAACGCTATACACTTTTATTCCTACCCCAATCATAACTATCAACAATGCGTTGATCGTACTGAAGGCTATAGCGTTCAACTATTGAAATCATATAAAATTACGTGTAAATTTTGTAATAAATTTGAGAATATAGTAGTTGATAAGACTGTATATCTTTTGTTGGTTCAAAATTTACGAGTAGAGCTTCTTAGCCCTCATTCTTTAGATTTTTGAAATGTTTTAGAAACCATATGCTACTACTACCTGGTCGGAACGAAAATATCGGGTACCGGACCTGATATGTTAGATGGTTTTAGCAAGTATGAAATGGTTGAACCACGATTTAGTACAAAATATAGTACCACTGACTTTTTCGGAATAAACTTAAGTAGGATTTCACTATCCTTGGATTTTTTACTCTGCCACGTTCAACATAACCTAATGAAGTAAAAATAAAATATAAGCAGATTGTATTATATCTACTATAAGCAGATTGTATTGAATTACATGCGTATAAGTGAAAGAGAAAATAAATATTCTCTAGATTTAAATGGTGCAGAGCAGAGGATACAATTTCGCACAGTAGCTTCCCCAACTCATTAACTCGTCTCTTCTTGCAGGCGCTTTAGAATGACCAACTACGATATCACATTACTGATAAATGAGAAGCAGAAAGAAGGAACAACGCAAAACTTAAGTGGTATTCTCAACGAATATCATTGAGACTAATTCTGGGAGACGGTAAACCTTTTAGAGTCAATCGTATAACCACAAAAGTCCTTAACCTTACATCAAAGGCAACCTTCATCTTATATACATGGCCGCCTAACCCTACCAAGATTGTTAATATAATTACGCTTAAGACTGGTAAATTCTGAAATGCTACACAACTTCTAACACCCTCCCTCAATCTGATGGTGTTTACAAAACATCAATTTATATGCTAGAAACTAGTGACGAGACGTAGCAACAGCCTTGGTCAATTGATCAGCAGTCTAATCTTCAGAAGTGATGTAGGTAAGATAAGACGTCCTTCTCAACAAGCAGACGAATATAGTGAACATGGATTTCAATACGCTTCTTACGATCATGTTGAAACACATATTAACCTAGAGGACACTCCATATAAATCGCTTCTTTCAAATCACCATGGAAAAACACATTTTTAACATCTAATTGCTTCAATATCCACCTCTTCAACAACAACAAGGAGTGTCCGAACAATCTGCATATTAGACACCAGAGCAAACGTTTCCCCATAATCAATGCCAAATTCCTGTCTAAAACATTGAGCCACAACACGTGTCTTAAACCGATCAAGTGTTCCATCAAGATGCATTTTTATCGTGTAGACCCACTTGGAACCAATAATAGGATACTCCTTTGGTTTAGGAACAACATTCCAGGTATGATTTGCTTCTAAAGCCCGAGTTTCAACAACCATTGCCTCTTCCCAATTTGCATCCCCACATGCCTGTTTGTATGTAGCAGGTATTGGAATAGGGGATGTCGAGAAAGCCATTAAGTCATTCAGCCGAGAGGGAGGCTGGCCCTTAGTGATGCGCACGAGGAGGAGGAGGAGGTCAATCGGGTACTGGAGCCAGAGAAGTAGTTGGCGATACATGTATGGATGTAGATGACGACGACGAAGACTCCGAGCCTAGGGAGCTTGAGTCGGTGGAGCTTAAAGTGGAATGTGGAGGACACACCTGAGACGGACTATTGGGAGACGATGTCGATCTAGAGGTAGAGGGCGATGTATTAGTATCCATAGAAATGGACCTAGCCTGAGAATGCAAGGGCCGTCATCAGCAGGAGAAGGAGGATCCGCAAAAAATAGTTGTGGGGCTTAGGTAAACTTAGGTCTTCATGAGTGGTCAAATCTTTATCAAGATAATATGAAAGGTGTAATATGAATGCGACATGACAGGAGATTCGAATTCGCTAATTCGTGACATCATAACAAACAAACCTTTGTGTTTATCACTATAACCCGCAAAAACGTACTTGGCAGCCTTTGAATAAAGCTTATGCCACTCCCACCGAGCCAGAAGAACATAACAAACACAACAAGATACTCGAAGGGAGGCATACAATGCGACAACACTGGAGTAGGCTGGTGATTAATCAGGTATACAATTGTATGAACCGCGTCAGCCCAACATCCTGAGGGAATACAAGACCGAAAGAGAATAGTCCGAGTAAGCTCCAAAACATGTTTATGCTTCCGCTCTACCAGGCTGTTTTGCTGCGAGACACCAGGACACGAACGGCAAGGAGAAATA